GGAAACGTATGCAGCTGGGCCTTTTGGCTAGTGTTTCTACAACCTAAAACGCAGCACTTTGAAACCATTATTTCTAGTTTTATTGTTTATATTCACTTTATTATATATCACCAACTTGTAAAATGAGTAGTAAACACCTGGGTAACACATAAACTACTAGCGATCTCAATCATAACATAATTAATATACCACATGTATACCACATAAATAACCTAATAAAATGGGTGTCGGGTGTCCCGTGTCAGGCGTGTTGTTTGGGTTGCGTGTATTTGGATTTGTATATTTCTTGATTGGCAACCAACTTATTAATATTGTGTATCATAAGTTGTCTAAATAAACAACACTTGTCTGCGTGCGCCACCTCGTATCCTGGGTCGTAGTAAAAAGCAAAGAAATGTCACTCTCATAAGAGTCGCCCACCCGTGTAGAGAATAAAAACATCTGTTGCAATCTGACAACTAGTGTGTTTTCAACTTTTTGACAGTTTTGTCAAGTTTATTTGCTAATCTAACAAAGGCCAATTATATAATATTGTTGTTTTCTACTAACTGCAACTTATAACGAAAAAAACAAATATTCACTCGTTCGTGTTTTATATAAATTTAAAAAATTTTAAAAATACCCGATTTTATAAGATAATATAATAAAAATGTACTGTTTCAAAGCATATTTGATTCATAAAACATACGTATCAATAACAAGGACATGGCAATACCGCAAACACAAATTTGACAGATCACTTGTAGTTAACTTCATCGGCACTTTCTCTATACTTTTGCCCTTTAGTGTGAATATCATCGATAAATTTCAAAATTATTTATCATATATTATGCAAATTGATTTAATTTTTTAAAATAATTATGCAAAGGATTAATAACAAAACCATCTGTCAAAATTTTCTACTTTCTACAGCGCCTTTTTTGGTGAACTAAAATTATGACTTATCCGCGTATCCCCAAAGGTCTATTTGACGCAAGGTTAGTACATAGACAAATTGTCTGGTAACTTTACACCAGTCAGCGTCAAGAATATAATGGAGGGAATGGCATCACCATAGAGAAATAAAAATTTTCTCTATGGCATCACTAAGAATGCTATATTCAAATTCATTCACCTGACTGGTTGAAATGAACTAGGAAAGCAACAATGATTGTAAATATAATAATCTCTGTATATTGAAAAAAGTAACATACTTTTGCACTTTTAATGACTATTTATTTCATTCAATCTTTACAAAATGTGGGAGATACTTGCAGAGTTATAGAAATTGTAAAATATATTGCAACTAAATATTCATATGTAGTAGAATAGCACTACTACTTAATTAAATTAGAAGAAGATTCTTTCTTTTGTATATATGTGACCAAAGCATGCTAATATACTATAATAATAATGGATTGAATACAATTTACTTTTTTAAAATTATTTTGAATTGAAGACAATAAAAGTAGTGCATTATTGTAAATTCCTCCAAACAATTAAATCATGCCGAAAAATAAATTTAACTAAATACACTATATATCAGAATTTGAAAAATATGTTTTGCCTTTTCCTGAAACTTAGTTTCTCTTTCCAGTTTAATTGTCTCAAGTTCTCTAATCGATGATTTAAGATTGTATTCAGTATCTTCTTTTTTAGAAGTTTTTGTTGAAGAGTTTTGAGTTATATACTAAAAAACACCCAATGATATCTATAGAAACATTAATCTCAAGATATATACATAAACTAAAACACTAACGATATTTAACAACAAAATATATTTTCCAAAACACTTATCCTATTCTCAAACAATTCGTAAAATTTACCCCCTGGGTGACGTCACACTGAACTATTTCATTCTGTTAATGTCAGAGTTACCATGCAACCTGTTTTTTAATAACCTTGTATTTGACGCATGGATTTGACGTATATTATTGAGTGTCTATTCAACCAAGATACGGAGTATTAAAAATACTAAATATTGGATAAAACAATATTTGGAGAATAAAACAAATGTTACAACTAAAAACTGGTGCAACTGAAAACTGCAGAGCTTTCATTATAAACATAGTTTGAAAACACCAAAGAGAATGACAAAAGAGGAAAATATATGTAAAATGTAAAGGAAATATTGGATAAGAATATAATTAATAAAGAATATATTACAATTGTTCTCTTTTAAAAGGTCTTCCTGATGATCTGGAGTCTGTTGTTTATTCCTTTTTAATCCGCGTAATAGGTATACTTTTTTCAACTCCCGTTTTTTCTGTATTCTTTTAACAAAAATAACTTTTGTAGACATCTAATCTACTTAAAATCATTTGCTTTCATTAATATATGTTTATCTACTGCATCACAATTACCGTATTTCCAATTTTCAATACAAATAAGAAAGGGGTTCGTTTCGCTAGCGTGTCGCTAATGATCACTTACTCTTTTCACGGTGTTTAGATAAGAAAATTCATACCTCATAAATTTTGAGAGATAATAAAATTATACATCACCCTGTTAATTCGAATAATTGTCACAGTCATCTATGCATATCTAGAACGGTTCGAGCACAAACGATTTAATTTTTCTTCGCAACAGTTCATCTTCATTGTTTACAAGAAGAAATGGCAAAAATGAGAGTCGTCGGTGTGATTAAGTTGATTTTACTTGTTTCACTTTTCGAAAAAGTTTTCGGCATCTCCAACAAAGAAGAGGTAGGTTGAATTTTTAGTTCTTTTAGATAAAAATGTAAGTAATGGCTTTTTTATTTATTTGGTTTCGATTTTTAAAAGTTTTTTTTTTATATTTGACGAAGATTATAACAACGTAACCTATTATCGGTACTTTTAGCACCTTTTGGAGCTTCATTTTAATTAGTTTAGTAACCAAATTACCTGAACAACGTGTATTTAAATTATGGTTTGGGCTAATAAAATCTATCACAATTACACATAAAATATTTATTTTATCATAAAACAAACTTACAATATTTAAAATATTAATAAAATAAAAAGTGTCTCAAGTTCCCATTATCGGCATTCTAAATTAAATGCACGCTCTAATTTTCGGCACATCAAAGATCCTTTTTTCGACGTGAGTTAAATATCCAAGATTTGAATAATTATATAGGATACCTAAATATTTAGTTAGATAGGTACTATTGAAGTAAATAAATTATTGTAGGTATGTAAATACACTAAATTGAAATTCAAAAAAATAACGTATTTTTCAAAAGATAAATATAAAATTTTTAATGTATCTATGAAAACTGAATTAATAAACACACATTATTTTAGTGGTCATTGACACAAGGGGCATTCCAGTTCTTCTCTATCATCTTCAGTTAGATCAAGAAAAGCCTCATGATAGTATTTCCAGCACGAACCACGAAGGCGCATGTCTAGCCGATCGCCAGTGTCACGCAATGAACAATACCAATGTAGTAAAAGTAAAGGTTTAGATGTTGAAGGTCCGCTAATTAACATGCTTTTATTTTCTTGCATTTCTTGTGTGGAAAATAGATCCTTTGTGACATTCTTCAATTTAGTCTTTGTCCTGCGATTAGAAATTCTTTTATTCAAATTTTGTGAAAGAGCAACTTTTTTCTTTTCCAATTTTTTCTTTTGGATGCGCTTCTCTTTCCGATGCATTTTTAGGTGCTCTTCTTGATTTTTCTTTTCTTCTTTTTTCTTGTAATATTGTTGCCACTGAGATGAAGTTGCTACGGCAGGTACCTTATCCTTTATCACTTTAGGCTCAGCAATATTTTCCTTAGGTGTAGGCCAAAATAAAAATTTTTTGAACGGAGTTGGAATAGATTTATCCATAAAATTCTTGTTTAAATTCGAACTTGTCTCAGTCTTAGAATCTGAATGGTTCATAGATGGCGATGTAACTTAAGAAGTTTCCATTTGTTGGAGAAAACTGTCAGACAGATGATAATCTATTTTGATTCTTTACCTTCTCCCATATGTAGAGTTTTTAATCCATTCAACAAACCTGACATGACAGCCTACATTAATAAATTTTCCCAAAAGTATTTGGTGATCTACACGATCAAATGCTTTGGAAAAATCTGTGTATCTTGCGTCTACCTGTTAACAGTCTTCCATATGAGATAATATATCAGATTGATAGCAAACCAAGTTTGTCGCAGTGGATTTTTTGCTATGAAAACCATGTTGTGATTGAGATATTAAGCCCCTATATAACCAAGAAAGACAATTTAAATATAGGAAAAACATAACTTTCTTTCCATGACGAAGGAAACATAGAGGTTTCCAGAGATCTATTAAACAATATAACAAGTGGCATTACAAGGGTACAGACGCACTTTTTAAATAAAAAATTAGGCCCTCCATCTGGACCAGCAGTAAGGTTATTGGACAGCTCATTTATGCCAATAAAAATATCAGTTATGGTAATCTTTGAAGGACAAATATTTGTACTAAAGTTGCTATTTAATCGATGTATAGGTAGGTAACGGTTTTTGTTATTTAGGTATGTCTTGATCATTTGTTTCAGATTGGATTTGATAAAATAAGGAATTAGGTAGGTTATGACTAGATGCCTTATCATTGATGTAGTTCGAAAAGGATTTTGGATCATTTCTTATGTCAATATCTATCTAACAACATTTAATTTATTCTTAAGAGGCCAACATCTTCCCTACAATAATCTTTACAAGAATAAAGGCAACAGAAACTATTATAGGAACTACCGAGAGCTTAGTGTAACTAACTCAATTCGTAAGATGTACGGGAAGATAAGCTGAATTAAAGATAATTGAGAAAACGTAAAAGATCGGAGTTTCTTTTATTCTGGTCGTTCTTGTATAGACAATGTACTATGTCTAAAACAAACAATGGAAAAGTGCTTGGAATACAATATGGAGACACACATGATATTTATTGATCTTCAAAAAGCGTATGATAGTGTCCCATTAGTCAAGCTGTGGCAGTTGAAGGACAAGAAAATATTATTGATTTACATAAATGCTGCGAGGGAGTTACACGACAATACGAGATGCGATGTCGAATAAGAGTCGACAAAAGGTAACATAAAGGATTAAGGTGACCAAAAGACCTCGCCAAGGCTCTTACGTTGTGACTACTGTCTACTTAAGATTTATTTGTAAAAGGTTTAAATGCCTGGAAAAGAAAATGTTAGCCTCCGGGATTTCTTTCTGATATGGATATTTATAATATTACATTTTTAGGTACTCCTTTCGGAAGAGTTTCATAGAGGCGCCGAAGATGCCAAAACGACAACAAGTTATGATCAAGCCAAAACAGGTACATTTAACCAAAATGTATATTATGCACAGAAAGGTAAGATCCTTCATGAATTGTCACATAATTCAATAGCAATATTGAACAACAAATTCCCACTTAACTATTAGAGTTACGAAGAAAATTTGTATTCCGTTACTTTTTATGCAGTTTCTATTGTACTTAAATATTTCTAAATAGTGGATGATGCTATATCTATCCATATCACGTCTGTAATTTTCTCTTTTAACTATTGCATTGACAATGGACAGCTATATGAGAAAACCCAATGCTGCCAAATATAACGCGCAGAAAGATCATTACAGTCTGTGAAGTATTCCACGTTGCTAAATCTCGCTGAAACAACTGGCTATTAAAGAATATATTTCTTTCGGAGACAACTCTGTTCTACAACCTACTATTTTAGACGATGTCGGAGAAAATCTGTTGTTGGTTTGTTTACTCAATGAAGAAGGACCACTAATTTTTAATCTAGAAATTGTGCCCAGACGATTACTGTGCTCAGTTGGTAATTCCACTTACAAAAATGTCTGGAAACCCAAAAAGGTCTTGCTATGTCTATTTTCGAATCCGAGCTGTACCTAGCAGATGTTACTGTTAAAACTGTTACTATTATATTGCAATCCAAGGGTTTTCCAACAGTATATAGGTCTTGTAGCATAAACATTCATTCTTAATTGTTGGGTGGTGTGAATAATTCATAAATGGAACATTAAGTTGATTTAATATCTTCTGAAAATTAGATTGGTTAAGATCCATTGTTTTTTTTGGGAAGTACATAATAAGGTATTTACCTCTAAATACCACATCTGTCGTCCTTTCGTCCTACTATGTGCTATTTGTATTTATGTATACAGATTGAACGAAATAAATTCGGAACATTGTAACGACAATATTTTGCCTACCACAGGGGGCATTAATACGGGAAATAGAAAATTGGGGGAAAAACTATTGGGGGTGGAAATAGGGCAAGCAAAATAATCGCTACTGATGCGAACGGCACTCAGGGTTTCGTAGGAGAGCTGGGGTCGTGGATAAGTAAAAGATAAGGGCATTGGAATGGGGGAACTACAAAAAAAAATGAAATAAAGGGCTCTTGGGATAAACAAAATAAAAATAAACAAGAAACACCTCAAGGAATTTAGGGCGCCACTTGAGGTGCCTAATTATGCCTATTACAACCACTAGTTGTAACTAGGGAAATAATTAGAAAACAAAATCAAAACATAAAAAACATATCTTTTTCAAATAAACTCAAAAAGGGTTAGCTCAAAAAAAAATAAATAAATAAAAGTTAAGAAAATAAAATTTAACTTTTATTTATGTGTCACCACAAACAGTTACATGGAGAAATACAAAATTCAGAAACTTACATGTGTCATCCATTAACAAACTCCATTGCTACAAAACTTACAAAATTGCATGGAGGTTAACCTTAAAAAAAAAAACAAAACAAATCAACATCAAAAATACTAAAACGAGCTGTCATAAATTAACATTAAATTAAAAAAAACTAAACACAAATTGACAGCTTTACTCAAAACCTAAAATTTACAATTTTAAATGTCAACGAAAGCAATTATTATTTTATAAAAAAAATGTCTGTCTTTAGTTTAAAATTTAAACAAAATGTTACCTTCATTCACATGATCACACTTAAGTTTCTGAAACCATAACTGGAACTGAGGGCTCCACTCTCTCTGCATCACGAAAACCTCCATCTCCAAACTGCCAAAAGCCTTGGATAAAAGCAGGAACAAAAAAAAACAAAACGAGGATTTCCTCCAATCCTCACTCAAAACATTAATAATTGAAGCATTTACTGCCACAAAACCAATAACAAACTGCTACATATTCTTCATAATAAAAGACGAAAACAGAACACTTTACAAATTCGACGTGAATTTGGACATAACGCTGAACCGCTCTTGAACGCGGTTCCAACGAGAGTAACGAAATTATCTATTAAAATTGATCGCATAACTTGAAAATAAACAAACACTTGACATAGCAAAATCAACGAAACGGCGTACATATCCTTTTGCGACGCATCAACATGAAAAGAATTTGCCGAAGTAAAATAAACAACTCTCAAATGGTTTTATTACTCGGCGACGAAACACTTTTGGGTACTTTGAAAGATACGAACTAACAAACACGGGAGAATTCCTCGTCTTATTTTTTAAATATATAAAAGGAGTTTTTAATATATTTTATTATACGAGGAGGTTTCAATATACTCAAAAGAATCAATGAAATTGAAAATGCTACAACATACGAAATATTATGTATTTCGGCTCAATTCTGCTGTAGGTGGTTGGCCAACAAAAGGTTGTCAAATAATTATAATATAAATATCCAATACTTCAGCGGGCTGCTGGATTCTGAACTAATTCGAGAACTCATTCATAGGTGGTCAAACCACCTATCGATTCCTAAAGCCGGCCACTCACGGTACAGCGGTGTCGTTCGACATAATTGGACAGAGGCGTTGTTCAATTTGTTGGTATATCTGGTGCGCCCACACACCATACTGCGCCGCAGTATTTGTTCGATTCTCGACCATGTCAAATCAAACAATCATTTTAGCGTCTCTTACTTTGTGTATAAATTCTTTGTGTATAGATTCTGGTGCAAAGAATCCAAGATTTTGGTGCAAAACAAATCTCATCTGCCCCTGCACCCGATTTACTGGACTGCACTGCTAATTTTAATTCTCTTTTATAGGATGTTCTAAAATTGTTAATTTTTTTTTCTTACATACTCTTCATTCGCATCTTTGTTTACTTCTTGGAACTTTAAAACTAGAATGTCCATTGCTTGTTTTCGGGCGTTTCTATCGTGATACGTTTTACCTTTTATTCGCTATAGCATTCTTGTTTTTTATATATTTAAAAAACTCTCTTAAAAAATTCTCGCTAAATCAAGCCATTTTGATTTTCTATAATATGATCCAAGCAAGTGTTTAGTTAAAAACGAAGTTGAACAACGCCGCTGTATCGTGAGTGGCCGCCTTTAGGCAAGCCCCTCTTTCGTTTATCGGAGATGGAGATTTTGAGCGGTGTTGCCAATATCATTCCACTAGATGTTTCTAAAATAACTACAAACTTCTGAAATAACTACAAACCATTAAGTTTATTTTTGTTATTAGTCTGTTGTAGTAGATTGGTAAATACAATGAAAAATATAGGCAAATATCCGATTTATTTAAAGATACGAGGAAGATATAACTCTCAAAAAGATCCGCAAATCGGATTATTACAAGGCGATTGGCAACATTGACTTTGAGCTGTGCTCTAGACTATGGTGCTTTCTAAAAACAGACGGATAGTTGAACGATATTTTATACCATGTCTAACACCGGGTATGGATTTATTTTTGTCCAAGTTTTATGTTGGTCCACTATTTCACATGCAGTTCAAACAGACATATATTAAATTGTATGATCCGTTTTAAATTCGTTAAATCTGTATACTATTAGTTGCCTTAATCATAAAATGTTGTGCTCCTTTCTTAAATTTTTTTGTTAATAGATGGTCATAGATATGGCGAAGATATTCCTAGAACCAGTTATGCCGTCAACGAAGGCGGTAATTTGTTATACGGTCAAGATGCAGCTGCAAACTACGGACAGTATGACCATGCCGCTCATATGATACCGGTTTATGGATACGCTCCAGAAGTTCCGTACATATACGGTGCTCATGCCGGCCATCTTCCTTACAATTATGGATATGGGTATGGATACGGACATCCAGTAGGACACAGTTACGGTCACGAAGCTGAGGAAGTGGATCATCATTACGAAAGTACTGGATTTGGTGTTACTGGAATTGGAAATTATCTCAAGAAGGTAATTTTAAATATTTTTATACTGAATTTTTGATAATATTTTTACGTTAACCATCAGAATTGTAGGTTAAAATGTTAAACAAAGTATATTCGATAAAAATGAAGCGAGGAAATATTACAAATCCTTAAATTAAATGCTTCTCTGTAATTTAAATAAATCATTTTGTGTTTTTAGAAACTTACCTTGAAGAAAATATTCATTCCTTTAGCAGGATTAGCACTCTTAGCGGCCGTAGGTACTCTCAGTACATCTAACCCTTTACTACTTCAGCTTGGGACCATTAGTGCTTCAACCGGTAGAGGTCGTCTCAGAAGATCGACTGATGAGGAAGTTTCGTTCCCAATGAATCCGTTTTTGAGAGCAAATATTTCCAGAAACGCGAATAAAACAAGAAAATGAAGGGAATATAGTTTTATTTGTTCATATTTATAATAAATAGTATTGTTGATTTTATTGTAGTTTTTATTTATTTTATTTTAAGACGATTTTTTCATAACATCTATTTAATTTCGACATTTTTATCACGAAATAGTCATTTTGGTATTTATTTACATAGTTATTGTAGGTATTAATTATACAAAATTAATAGAATAAACTGTTCGTCTACGAAATGATGAAATTCAAAGTGATTTTTTGTTCTCTCTCTCTCACTATCAAATAACCTTTAACCAACATATTTTCAGGTACTGCCAAAACAATTCAATTTGTTCACAAACGAACCCTCCTTCAGTATGTTTATATCGTCAGGTAAAGTTTCTGAGAGGGGATACCAGCGAGTGATATTCTTCCTGGGTTTCTCCATCATCTCTATCCAATGAGCGTGAGCTTGGCCCTCAACGTTCGGTCCAATAACCAGACAGCCCATTAGGTCGTTGTTACTAATCCTTAAATGAGAAATAAACAAATAATAATAAGAATTAAGAAATATATAATAAAATATTAATAAAAAGATCAACGACATATGACAATCTAATAATAGGCAGTTTAATTCGATAAATAAAACACCATCTTATGATTTGAAATACACTTTATTATTAAGTATAGTCTTCCCGAACATCAACTCACTTGTTCTAAGAAGATTTTAATTTATGAATTTCATCCCTGAAGTGTGAGAATCTGAAAGAAGTTGCAAAATACACCTCCACAGCTTTTATGTCCTCAGCATTTGATGAAAAACGCTATCTACGCATAAATATTTTTTGATGTTGAAATAGATGGAAGTCGCTAGGGGCCAAATCTGGTGAATACGGTGGATGCTCCAGGAGCAGAAATATAAGATCAGAAGGGAAGACGATCAAAAACTCAATAGAAGAAGCTGCAAACGAGCAGTCAAGTAAACACTAAAAGAAAACAAAAAATGAATAGTATAAACAATAATATAAAGAAATAATAGCACACAAGGTGAAAGCAAGAATTAAATGATTGTGATTGGATAAAGAGGAAGACAAACAGATCTATAACTCGTCTACGTTTATTGTTTTTTTTTGCTTATGTGTTGCATTAGTCCACGCTATTTTGTCTTTGGTCTTGCCGATAGAAAAATCCACCCAAAGCAGACGATCAAATCACCGAGGAATCACTGTGGAACTACTATACAAGAGAAATGTACGAAAGGAAGCTAGCACAGAAGATACAGCTGAAACAAATAGACGACATCGAAGAAATACATGCGAACTAAGAGAAAATTAAAAACAACATTGAAGAAGCAGCAATAGAAGCTCTATTCTTCCGAGTGCTGCCTATCCCATTTTTACACGTCTGTTTATTTCGGTAATCTGATTTTCTTTGCTTACCTTGACCTTTTGACTAAGATATGTATATTCATCTACGTGTTCTATCTCTGTCCTTTCGATGTTTATCATAGGTTTGTCAACTTTGTTTGACATTAGTTTAGTTTTGCTGAAATTCATTTTCAGTCCTTTTTTAGGAATTCTGTGTGTAGCTCCTCAATCATCGTATTCAGTGCATTCCACGTGTCGGCTATTAGTACTACATCATCTGCGTATCTAAGATTGTTGGGAATTTATCTGTATTGAACAGACAGCAATTGACGGATTTGTAGTTATCTGTTTTATTTACGTAATAAAAACAAATCCGTCAATTGCTGTCTGTTCAATACAGATAAATTCCCAACAAGCTCAAATTCTGTTCTCTTTAGCCGTCTGCTAAATTCTTAAATTATTTAAATTTTTCCCTGGGTGACAGTTTTTTTTGACGTTTTTTATATTATATTTGACATAATTTATGGAACAGTAGCAACGGGAAATTTTATGTAACATGATAAAACTAAAATTGAACTAAATACATTTTATACAAATAATAAATATTCGTAACAAAGATGGTTCAAGTATCTTCTGTTAATAGAGATTCCCTTATTTTCCCAGTCTATTAAAGATCGGATGAAGACATTGAAACATTCTATGAAGAAATATTAAAAGCATTGGATGAAGAAAAGACCCGACTAACAATTGTGATGGGAGATTTCAACGCTAAGCTAGGACAAAAACTAAATGACGAAGAAACAAAAATAGGAAAATATGGATATGGTGTACGAAACGAAACGAAAGAGGGACAACCCTGATGAACTACATGGAGGAAAGGAAACTCTACGCCATGAACTCCTTTTTCAATAAGAAGCCACAGAGAAAATGGACCTGGATAAGCCCTGACACCAAAACTAAGAACGAGATCGACTTCATATTATCAACACAAAAATACGTAGTCAAGGATGTCACAGTGCTAAACCGTTTTACAACAGGCAGCGATCACCAATGGTGAAGGCTAAGATACAAATTAACAGCCAATTTGAAACCAGAAAGAAAATCAAAAACGTACAAAAACTAGATATGGAAAAACTTAGCCAAACGAAGAAAAGTACAAAGAAGAAATAAAAAAATGCATCCCAAATACAACCGACTTAATAAATAAAGAAACAAATGAAATAAATGAAATGCTAACTACTACATTGATACAGGCCGGGGAAAGAATTGCAAAATCGACGACAAAAAAGGACAATTATATCTCAGAAGAAGTAGAAAACCTGATGAAGACAAGAAGAAGCCTACTTGAACAGGGCAAAAGAAACACAGTAGAATATATTGAAATCAATAAAACAATTAGAAAAAACATAAAAAAAACCAAAAGAAAAACGCAGGAAACAAAGACTGAAAGAGTAATCCAGCAGAACAAAAATATGAAATGCTTAAAACAACGACTCGGTAAAACTCAGATAAATGAAAGGACAAACAGCGAAGGAACAATCATTAATGATATAAAACAAATAATAAAGTTGACACAAGAATACTATACGCACCTAGACAGAACAAGACATAAACCACAGCAAGAAATAATTAAACAATTAAACACAAAAATAAAAAATATAAACTCTGACCTACAACCAGAAATAAGTAAAACAGAAATCAAGAAAGCAATTCAAGAATTAAAAAACCATAAGTCACCTGGAAAAGATGGAATAACTGCAAAGATGCTGAAGAGAGGAGGGAAAACAACTAGAGAAGTCCTACATATCCTTATGAACAAAATATTGACCACAAAAGAAATACCCGATAGCTGGAACGATGCGGAGACACTATTAATGTTCAAAAAAGGTGACCGAAAGAACTTAGAAAACTATAGACCTATAACATTACTAAGTGTTGTATTTAAACTACTAACGAAGATCATGACAAATAGACTAACAACTAAGCTTGACGAATACCAAGCAAGAGCACAAGCGGGATTCAGAAAGGGTTTTAGTACTAGCGACCATCTGCTAACAGTAAAAATACTGATTGAAAAGTCGAACGAGTATCAAATCCCATTATACATGGCATTCATAACCTTCCGAAAGGCGTTTGACAGCATAAAACATTGGGCTATCAAAAACTCACTACAGAACGGCAGAATTGATTAAAGGTACACGAACCTAATAACAAACATATACAAAAATGCGAGTACCACAATAAAATTGATGAACGAACACGCTGCAGAACCACTAAAATTTGAAAGAGGAATCAGGCAGGGAGACACAATATCGCCAAAATTGTTCAATCAGGCTATGGAAGACATATTTAAAAAATTAGAATGGGGTACATCTCTTGAACCACTTGAGATATGCAGACGATATAGTCCTGATAACAGATAAGAAGGAAGAGTTACAGAAGATGGTTGAGGAACTAGATAGAAAAGCGACAGAGATAGGTCTAGAGATGAACTATAGTAAAACCAAGACTATGACAAACCAAGAAGACCAATTAGAAATAGTAGTCAAACAGAATAAATTAGAGCAGATGGCAGAATACATATACATAGGACAGATAATAAAGCTGAACAGGACAATCAAACAGAAGAAATAAAAAGAAGAACTAGACTAGCATGGGCCTCATTTGGTAAACTATCATATATTTAAAAAAATAAAAAGTCTCCCCAATATATGCGAACGAAAGTATTCAACCAGTGCACTTTACCAGTTATCACATATGGCTCACAAACATGGACTTTCACAAAGGAGAACATCGGCAGGATATCCAAAACACAAAGAGCAATGGAAAGACAGATGCTGGGTATCGGTCTTAAAGACAGGAAAAGAAACTCATGGATCAGAGAAAAAACAAAGGTGAACGATGTATCAAGACAGGTTGCAAAACTTAAATGGAACTTCGCCGGTCACACTCTCCGGCAAAAAGATGAAAGATGGAATAAGCGAATTCTACACTAGAGACCATGGGAAAAGAAAAGAAAAAGAGGAAGACCACAAATAAGATGGACTGAGGATGCAGATCGCCCAAAATAGAGACCAATGGAGATTAACAGGGGAGGCCTATGTCCAAAGTGGGCGTTTAAGGCTGATTAGATAAATAGATAGACATTAAAGATCGGGCAGCTATAGATAATTTTGGAGATATTGTCCCTCCTTGTCTTACTCCTCGGTTGAACTGAGGCTAATATTTAAGAAGAAACAAAGGTTTTAAAGCCTATATATAAGAAGGAAGAAGAAGATCCTGCCGATTGGAATTTTCTTTAGTTTCATTGTCATTGTGACTACAAATGGATTATGGTCGGAGTTAATGTATCTAAGATAGGCTTTTGCGCTTAGAATACTGTTTCTGGATCTGCTGTTAATCGCAATGTAATCGATTTGGTTTTCTATAATTTGACAATCTTTGTCTTCAGGAGACAGTGCTTACTTGTATTAGTATATATAAGTTATTATAAATTATAAATTATTATAGTCCGTTTGAAACTTATTGATAATATATTATTCATAATAAAGTATCATAAAACAATGAGTATAGACATGAAATGCTTACCTGTCGTAATCTATAACTTGTATCACAAATGCAACATCTTTAATGGTCTCATGTGGCACATGAAAAACTAGTGCCTCATTATAAACAGGA